GCTTATGGTAGAGAAATGAACATTCAATTCACGGGCGACAGCTTTGGTGGACATTCCTGTAGTCAGCATGCCAATTGCACGCTCCCTCAAAACTTGCGACATCTGTGGCATTGTGCTGTGTGAAAAAACTGCACATTTTAGAGTGGCCTTTTATTGTGGCCAGCCTAAGGCACACCTGTGCAATAATCATGCTGTCTAATCAGCATCTTGATATGCCATACCTGTGAGGTGGATGGATTATCTCGGCAAAGGAGAAGTGCTCACTAACACAGATTTAGACAGATTTGTGAACAATATATATACACCTTGCTACGTGTACTGCGTTAGGCTAACCGAGACTTGTCATTTACACTTATATATTGTTGCTCTTTTGTTAGTTTTGACTGCTTTTATTGTCCTAATTTGTAAGTCGCTTGGGATAAAAGCATCTGTTAAATGACTAAATGTAAATGTAGGGGTCAAATGTGCTCTTTCAGCAATGATTAAACTACATTATAATATTCTTGTGAAACAGACTTTTTATTTTAAACCAGTTTAGTTATTCCAACCTGTCACTTTCTCTTTCTTCTTCTTTCCAGTCTTCCGCTCTTTTTTTTTTTTAAATCAAAGAAAATGTGGTTTTAGTTATGGACAAGATATGAATCAAGAAGGGTAGTAAAATATTTTGTCATATGACAGAACCAGTATTAATGTTTATGGTTTGAATTAAAATTAAATAAATTTAAAATAAAATAAATATTAAATAAGCCATAATGTCAATCAAAGTGTGCTTAGATTAGTGTCAGACTATAAAGGAAGATTATTTTTCTTTTAACAGCAAGGCATATCTAGTATATGAAATCATCTGACACTAAAGTTTTAATAACAGGTGTGTGCCATATGTGCTTGCATCCAAAATGAAGAAATCCTGAAAACATCTGGTGACTTGACTAAACAAACAAACCAATTACACTGTGCGTCACCAAGTGATGATCTACTCGTGTGTTTTCCTGATTATCCAGAAAGAACCGTTTTTATGCAGCTTGCTGGAGACACCCTGGAACCTGCTGTAATTCAGGGCTTTTCCAAACCACAAATGAACCAGACTAGCAGGACTAGCTGCCAGGTATTTTCTCAGATGATACGTTACTAAACGTTCCTAATATTTATTGGGTGAAGAATGGAACATATCCACTTCCATTTTCTCAGAAAACACTTGAATGAGTGTACTGTGATTCCCCAAAATATTTTTATGGAGAATTGTAGATAACTTCCTGGCAGGTCTGAGTTTGTGAGTCAATGATATTAAGATGAGGAAACACCCTGCAAATGGAGTAGCTTTTTCTTCAAAAACAAATCTTCTGAAATTATATAACAGAGAGAGTGAACTCCTGCTAGCATTAGCTCAAGTTGGGCGTCACATGTTCACTTAACAAACAAACCCTCCCTGTTGCATAATGCTCAATTTGCTGTACCCAAATTGCATGGCTTCCAAAATTCACTGAATGTTTTTCAAAATTCCAGCAAAGTTCAATATACCAACCTTTTGAGAATGTGGAATTTAGTCTTATGTCAGCAGAGCTGAATGTGCCTGCATTTGCAGAATGATTAATGATAAAACATCTTTCTGTATGAATTACACGCGTCAGACAGACAGCGTCTGTGACCAATTTAGCTGTCAAAACCTCTCAGCGTAAAACAACTGATGCAGAGTGCCAAATATGTTGTTGAGGAATTCCAGCTCTTGTGCAGGCATGCGATGAGGCCTTTTTCTCTGCGTCTTGTTTTGAAAAAGACACAATACTGACTGATTGCAGGAAATACATTGATGGATTGGTCTCATATTCACATATATTTACAGGTCACCGTTAAACAGCCATGCACATATTCACATCTTTGTCAGTATATATGTAGAGTATATTATTCTGTCTAGATATTGCTGGCATATAATGTTGCTGGTGTGTTTATTGTGTGTACTTTGCAAATATGAATGTCTAGCATTGATCGTCATGATGTAGTAAGACATGACGTATCGACATTCTAATACTGTTTATGGGATTTTATGGAAGCTTATTTGAATGCAAATGTCAATTAAGCCTCATTCAATATTCTTGTGAGTCAAGTCACCTTTATCTACATAGCACTTACAGATTTGTATTGTATCACTTACAATAGATTGTCAAAGCAGCTTTACAGTGTCAAACAGGAAAATAGTCAGTGTTTGTTCCACTAGTCAGTAGTCATATATTGCTTGTATGTGTTGGTGTGTGTGTGGTAGAGAAGGTGGGAAAAAGAGGCCCTATCAAAACACAAGGTGATGAGAGCAAGACGCCTTTACTAATTCTCTGTCCAGCCCACATTCCTGGTCATGAGGGCAGATCACTGTATGACCCCAGGGCCCCTCACACAAGGTGCATAAACAGAAGGCTGAGAGTACATCTCAAGATCTGGATCCATTCAGACTAAATGAGACATTACAGGGATTTACAGACCAGTCACCATCTAGAATCTGAGCAGAGAGCACTAAGCATCTGTACACTGTCACTCATGCAGGGCATTTAAAATGTGCTTACGGTCTTATCTCAAAGGAAGTATGCACGCCATTCACCTTTTTACTACTTTTCTTAACTTTTTTCTTTTTCTTTCCCCTGTCTCTGTCCACCACCAGTTTAAGGTTCTTCAGTTCCTGCCTCATCAGTTCATCCACCTGAGGCAAAAATATGAAAAAGAGAAAGATAAAAGAGAAAGATAAAAACAAGGATGGAGAAAGAGTAAGAAAAATTTGAAGGAATGAATTAGGCCACAAGGGAAGAGAAAGAGCTGAGGTGTCTTGTTTTTATAGAGTGTTATGAATTTCATGAAATGTAGTGCAGAAAGAGTGTTGATTTCCTTACTCCCAACCACGGCTTGTATTCACAAGGGTCCGGGACAAAATTATGAAGCTGAGGGCCCCACTCCTCATACTACTGAAAGGTTAAAGATGTGTTTACTGGGCCCCCTTCATCACAGGCCCCTGGTTCCCCCCGATGACAGCTCTGCTCCCACCTGAACTCTGAGCTCCTCTTCAACTCCCAATCTCTTCTCCTCACGCACCAACTGAGCATCAAAACACTGAGCGAAGTTCTGTTTTTCATCTCGGTTATGCCAAACCTCTGCAATGCACAATAAATGTACAGAGTAAGTATAGATTTAAATAAAACACATGACAACGGCAGTGACAATATGATCATACCACTGGGAAATAGCCATGGTGCTTCACATTACATTCATTTAAACAGCAGAAAGCTGACATTTTCTGACATGTGAAAACAAATTTGAGTTGGACACAAAGCATCAAAGTAAAGCCAGGAGAACATCAGTCAGCACTGTGTGTAAAGGAGGAAACAATTCTGAGTGAGGTCTGTTGGGCCTCAGTCGGAGCTCCTGCGTGTGTCCTGTGTAGAGGAAGCACAGGTGCTGTGGTCTGGGTGAGAACGTAGCATACGATTGTACTCCGTGCTGTGCTCTCACGCGCCACATCCTGACAGGAAATCCATTTCCATCCACTTCCTGTCCCGGCTACAGGCTGTATGCCAGGTTAATTCGGAAACTGGAACTGGACTGAATGGCAGGTTCTGACCTCACAATGAGTCTGAAGTTGTTTTCCCCTGTTTTACCATTTGGATATCATTTAGATGCACAGAAATAAACAGCAATCTTAATCTAAACTCACCAGGACAAACATTTGTGAAAGTGCTAAAAAATATATTTACATTTGGCAGATGCTTTTAACTGCATTCAATAAATACATTGTTATCAGTTATGATAAAAATGCCCTACTGTTTGAGCTACAGGGACACTTATGTAACTACCTAAGTCTCATAAACAGTAGGGTTGTGTGTATTTATAAATTGAAACAGAACTAGTAGTGGAATTCACATTTGAATTTAAAGCTACTATGCAGATCCCCTCCCCCCTTTTGGGTTAAAAATGAACAAAATTTCAATATTGCGCAAGATCATAAAACAATCTATGTTCATATCAGTGTGCTTGTTTTACTCTGATTCATATAGCCTACAACAATAACATTTTGAGCTAACAGGTCAGATTTGGAGAGAAATTACTATTCACATAATCCACGAACACAGTCGAGAAGGTCTGATTACTATATTGCATTCCAGAGTGATGAGGAGTGGTTGTAGTTTGTTGTGACAATAAATAGTGTTACATAGTATTTGAAGTAGTCAGCTAGCAGGCATTTAATATGGACAGTTCTAAATGTCAACCCTCATTGTCGTATGGGGAGCACCCACTGACAAAACAGAAAGTTTGATAGAGACCATGCCAAAACAAGATTCAAACTAGAGCAACAAATCTGATACTTGCTCACATGATATTTTTTCTGTAGAAAGTTCTTAGGAAGTTTAAGGTTTTATAGGCCTTGACAAAGTGACACACCAAGCCTACAGTCAGAACATCGAGCGTCTGTCAGCTCAGTTTTTGTGATGTGTTCCGCAGCATCGACACTAGTTGGACCCCATTGGTGGTTTTTTGACCACTTTTTGAATAATGAATGTAGACTACTGCCACCTATTGATTTCCTCTCACGCAGGTGCAGAACATATGTGCAAGTTGGCTGTTGGCTATAGTTTTTGCTCTGTGTTCAAGTACATCTTTTTGGCCCAGACGCAGGTGACATGAGGCAACAACACAGTCAGCTTTCATCACTGCTAGTTCTTTGATCTCAGTTTGGTGTGTCTTGAGCTTTACAGACAGATTTACAAACCAGGGTGGAAGAACACTTGTTCAAACGTCTTTGAATTGGAATTCAGAAAATTCCAATTGTCTGTAATTCCAATTCTAGTTTGACATCCTGTGGTTTGTGGCCAATTCAATTCAAATACCAACTCATAAAATGATTTTAAAATTCTGAATTTCACACAACTCTAATAAGCAGTGCTGTCAAGTTCACATAGGGGTCAAAGGCCACTGATGTTAAAGCTAAATCTGGTGGAACCTAAAAATAAGCATCGAACTTTGAAATGAGATACGTTGCTGAGGTCAGAGGTCAAACTGTCGTCCACAAAGACTTCTTTTCAAAGTCACATTTTCAAAACATCCCGGGGCAATACGATCCACATAATTGCCTGTTTCTTTAAAGACAACATCCACCTAACTCCCCTGAAAACACACGACTGTTAGGGGTCAGCTTTTTAAACCTTCTTTATTAGCACTGAGGTCCTCTGAGAATGCTTCAACCCCACACAGTGCAAGAAGAACAGACACTACTGTGGATGAACAGAAAAGCAGCAAAATATCTGGTGCCATAGTGGCTAGTTTTGTTGGAGGGGGGTGGCCACACACATTTGCTCAGACTGAACATGGTGTATATACAACACATTTGCTACCCCACCATATGGAGATTGAGTGTAAAAACACTTCAGGGCTGGAGGGTGGTCAGCTGTACCTACTCTGCTAGGCTCCATAGCAGCCTCTTACCTTCATAGTATGGTCTTTTGTCCCATTTGTGAAGATTTGTATGCCAGTCAGTCTGCGGAGACAGAGTTGCTCTCCTTCTGCCAACCTGTTTTGCCTGTTTGTCTCGGGTCATTCAGTTAACAGCTAGAAACAGACACTTCCTTGACATGGCTCTCTCTGCCAAGAGACTGACATGAAATCCATCAGTCACATACAGAAAGTGCACCGTGACGTTGGGATGCAGGAAGTGAAAGAGGGGGGAAAAGGGAGCGAGAGGGAAGCAAGCGCCAGACAAGCCTAAACAGGCAATCTCAATCTGACCCTGAGTACTACAAATGACTTCCTTGGCCTCTCTATAAGCCATTCTCAACTAGAGTGTGGGTGACTTTCCAAACAGAGCTTGTCCCTTTAGACATCATGCTGGTTATTGTCTGATTCTGGGTAAATATGGTGTTCACCTTTCCGCCTCATTACAACTAAATAAACCCACTACATGATCATATCCCAATTACAGACAGCTGATAAAACAGTGTGCTGCAGATTAACTCGCACAGCAAAGACCCTTAGCTCTAATTAGCTGTCTGGCAGGCAGGATGTAGGAGATGGACTTAACTATGTTTGTCTGCTGAACATATCATACAAATCTTTTAGGAGTTCAGATTAGCTGAATGCATTGTTTACAGTGACACAAGGCTGTTTTGCAAGCTGTGAGCATACTTACTTCAGAAATAATATACTTAAGTGCAAACTGAATGTAATGTTTTCAGACACTTAAATGCATGTTAATTGCAATTAAATGAAAATGTGTTATATGTAAATTTTTTATTAAATGCAATTAGCTGAACATTTGACCCACTTAAGTAGGACTTATACATCTTTATATGTAATTTCATATTTACTTCTTTCATCTTTGAAATATGATTAAAGGGGTCATATGATGCGTTTTCTAGTTTTCCTTTCTCTTTGGAGTGTTACAAGCTGATTGTGCATAGATAAGATCCCTGAAGTTGCAAAGACTAAAGTCTCAAAACCAAAGAGATATTCTTTATCAAAGTTAAGACTCTGCCACGCCCCTCTAAAACTGCTCGTCCTAACACGCCCCCACATATCTACCTCACTATGTGGAAATATTTGCATAATGCCGCCAAAATGTGCACGCAAAGAAAGAAGGCGTGGTTTCAGTAACCGTAGTCCCCATTCAGTCAGTCACGTTCTACGTTACGTCAGTGACTGACGAATTGGGATCTCGCCCGAGAGCCCAATCACCTTCGAGTGTTAACTAAACAAGCCAATGACAGTTGGCGTGCGTGTTTCGCCACGCGCACCCCGCCCCGCAGCACATGCAAACGCACATGTGCAAACGCACATCAGCTTTTCGCTTCGGAGCCGAGCCTTCTCAGGACGAATCTCCGCGAGTGTTTGGAAGAAACAGCTGGCGTTGGTGTTACGGCGCGTCAGCGGGGGTTGCCATTCAGTGCTGCTCATCTTCGGCGTGCTGCAGCTGCCATTCTGCGGTCTCGCCGCGACCTCCCCTGGGCGCTTCAGCGCTCTCTCTAAAAGAGTGTTTCCTTTTTTTCCTAAAAGAGCAAATGTCTAAAAGAGCTCCACGAGGGACGGGCATCTTTTTAAAGATGGCTTCCCGCTCGTGCGTTTCTGGATGTGGTCGTTTCCTGCCTCCATCTGATGGTCATGATCGCTGCCTCTCGTGCTTGGGCTTACAGCACGCTGAAGCAGCGCTCATGGATGAGTCATGTTCTCAGTGCGGGAACATGACCATCGCGACGTTGCGGTCTAGATACCTCCTCATTAAACGGGGGGGGTATCCCCCTTGCCATGCCCCGCTCTAGCTCCTCTGGTTCTCGGAGGGCTACTTCGGTTCATGATCAGGGAGACCTGAGGGTTACTGTGAGAGCTTCCCCGTCGAGTACATCTCCGCGGGCCTCGCATTCCTCAAGCACATCGCACCACCTGGTGCTTCCGGACGAGTGTGCTGGGTCCTCGGACAGGGCGGGGTCCAGCATCTTGTGCGGGGCACAGGCAGAGGACAGGATGTCGATTGCTGCATCGGAGGGCGAGCTAAGCTCTAGAGATGAGGATTCGGCTGTGCTGCCAACGTCAGGTAGAGTGGTGTTGCCCGAGTCAGATCCAGAGCTGACCGCTATGCTTTCCCGGGCTGCTGAGAGTGTCGGGCTGCACTGGAGGCCTCCGCCTTCTCCCGAACGCTCGAGGCTGGATGATTGGTTCCGGGGGGCGCAGGCCGGACGTCGGCAGCCGCCTCCGGTTCCATTCTTCCCGGAAGTGCATGAGGAGGTCACTAAGTCTTGGAAGGCACCTTTTTCTGCCCGAAACAGACCTGATACCTCCTCCGTCCTCACCACCCTCGACGGGGGGCGGCCCAAGGGTATGTCGACACCCCTCCGGTTGAGTGCGCGATGCAGCTCGGCCCGCAGAGCGCCGCCGCCTGGAGAGGTAGTCCACGCCTTCCGTCCAGGGCCTGTAGGTTCTCATCCGCTCTGACGGCTAAGGCTTACAGTGCCGCTGGACAGGCCGCTTCCGCCCTGCACGCCATGGCCCTCCTGCAAGTCCACCAGGCCAAGGCGTTGAACCAGTTGCACGAGGGTGGTGCTGACTCGGGTGGGCTACAGGAACTGCGCACGGCGACGGACCTCGCACTAAGGGCGACGAAAATCACGGC